TTTTAAAACTCCTGCATCCACTAAGTCTTTAATTATCTGTGAAATGTCTTCATGCCCCCGTGGAATCTTGTACTGTTTCATGGCCACCAATTTAGTTGTGGCAGGAATCCGCACAGGGGGCATTTTTACTTTTCCGACTAAGATTGTCCGGGCACTAATATAGTTCTTTGTTCCATATTGGTACAAACTGTCAGAAAGATTCAAAGTCAGTCCCTTTAAAATATCAATCCCAATTATATATTCAGGGACAGGAAAAATCATAACTGAATACAATCATTTTCATTTCTATTTGTGTTTGCACAGCTTCATTTTTTTTCCCTCCCAAACCAGTAATAATTACAGGTTTTCTTTTAAATTTCTTGGGTTTTCCATATATTAAGGAGGCCTCCACTCTGGTATCAATTAAGGCTTTTACAATTTGTGAAGACTGGTTTTTCCAAAATATTTGAAGCTCTACATGGGGTCGCTGGTCCTTCCGTGCCCTTTGCACTGGAGCTTGACTGTCGCTTCATTCTTGTTCCCTATGCTGAACTATTTCCCTAGTGTCTTTCCAAGGATACAAGTCAGAGTACAGCTCCCAATACTCCTTCTTCCCCGGAACATCTGATCCACTAGCGGTGGGCCCTCTGCAAGGGAATGTGAAGCCTCGTCGAGGCTCCAGAGGGGGTACCGTAGTCTGAGTTGTTCCTGGATTTCCTGCTTTAGAATTCTGCACTTTCTTGTTGGTCTTATTCAGCCCTCTCTGCTTATATATCTTCCATAAATCAGGGGTTGAGATACCATCAATCTTATCACGAGACACCCCATCTCTTAATAAAACAGTAAACATTTCTTTTCAAGAAATGCTCTTTTCGCTGCCTCGGGGATTATTTCAAATCTCGCCCCCCACCCCCCTCTCCTTGGGGGCCCCATTCTCCAAGGTCACCTAGCTGCTGTATTTTTTCAATTACCTCATCTAAAGGATTCCCTGTCTCATTAATCAGAAGGGTCACATGCAAGGGATTGCGCATCAAAGTATCATCAGCATCTCCCATAAAAATGGCCAGCTTCATTCTGTCCTCTTTTATTCGCTGTAATCTCACAAAGTATTCCATTGACGCTTAGATCCGGGCTAATCATTTTCTGTAGGGTATTTAGTATTGCATCCCTGAGCAGCCAGGGCCAACAAGTTTCTATCTTGAATGTTATTTCTAAATGCATCCTGTACAAAAGAGTCTGAGCTCAAAATCAAAAATTTCTTAGAATTTCCTGCATCTAGGGTTATCCCTGCAGTTCCCTGATCATGCAAATGCACCATCCACGAGAGCAGGGCCTCCCCTGGTATCTGCTTAAATCTTTCAATTATATCAGTCAGTTTGTGCTGAGTAAAATCTTCAACCACATTCATCTGGGGAACCAGCCCCATCAGAATCCATGGAATCCCAAATATCACCATCGCAATTCTCTGGATCCCATTGTACACCTGCTTCTGCAATCACAGCATACACTTTCTTACAGTTAACTCATCCCCTTCTTTTCTTATATTTATACTGCGCAACCTGAACTGCAGCCTTTTTGGCCACAGCCTGATACGCGTCCGACTTAACAACAAGTAGTTTAACTTGATATTGTAACATTGCAATCTGATTCTGCAAATCACACATTTGTCGCTCCGTGTGGGAGTGTTCTAACAAAAAACATTCTTTCTGTTGCTGTTTCCGATATTCTGTTAACAAAATCCATCCCCATCGTCCAGAAATCACATTTTCTTTTCCTTTTCCAATAGGCAACCTTTGAATACATTTTAGTACATCCAGTGGCTCAGCTTCTTTCACCCAACTTTCCTGTGGAGGGGGGAGGGGGAAGGAATGCATCCCGTTTAGATTTTAAAAAGTGCCGGTTCAACATTCTGTTTAGATTTAAAGAATGGCATAATGTTCAAATCCTGTCCGTGATGCCAAATTATGTTTTGCCAAATCGATGGGGCGGGGGAAGAAAGAACCAGACATCAAGGGAAAGAATGGTTGTGTTTACCATTAATATCAAATAATACAGAAATGAAAGGATACATCTAACGAAACAATAAGCTTACTATGCGCTGGGTTTAAACAACAGACAAAACAAGCAAGGTAATGCACTTAACCATTACTATACAATCAAGAGAATAGTGATTAAGAAAATGATACATCACCAATTGCCTTAATACGTTGCCATCATCCAGATCCGCAATCGCTGGGGAGCCTCTGTTATAGCGAGGATTTGGAGAACCTTCCCGGCAATTGGGAGGTCTTACGTGGTGTGTCCACCTGTAAGTGAGGTCTCCAAAGTCATGGCAAGAGGGTCCGGCTTTTATAGAGCCAAATCAGCAAATCATGATAACTTGCATTCTCTTTGTAAGCGGTAACATCTGGTGTGGCGTACTTTCCCTATCATCTGGGACCAGGACTTGGCCAGAGCCCAGGCCTCGGATGGGAGGGTTCCCTTCAAGGTCAAAAACACTTCCATGAGAGCCTACAAAAGTTACAATTTTATCAGCCTATGTGCAGGGTGGTGTAAGCAGTCTGGCAGGCCTACATGTGAGTTAGCATAAGCAATTTACAGGCAAGTTCTGTGTACTTCTACAAAGGCAGAGCCGTATTCAACTGTAAGTCAACTCTTACTTGGGCCTGTGGTTCAGGCCCTAGCACTACAGTACCTCAGCCTTTTCTGTGTTCATTGTCACTAGGTCCCCTGCCCTATTCAACAGCAGACCCACATTTTCCCTAGTCTGCCTTTCACTGCTTTTTTGTCATATGAGTTATCCCACTAATTTTCTGTAATTGTGATGATACCATGACTTTGTGACTGCACATGGAGTTTCAGTTCTTGTTTGTTTCCAAGACTGTCTGTGTTGATTTATAGGCCTGCAAGTATTTATTCAGCTATTATCTATTCAGTTATTTCTGATCAAGATCTTTGCCCTTTTTGTTTCCAGCTGACTCCTGATTAGGGAGGGTCAAGCACCCTTTCAGCAGGTACTATATATAGTAGAACCTATATAACTGTCAGGCCTCAAACATAGTTCTTGGAGTGTATCTGACAGAAGCAGCCAACATATACAGCAGTTTGTGCAGAAGAGGACCAGAAACTGCTGAGGGCAGTATTCATGTACTAAGCAATGGTGGTGACATGCAACAGGGCATGGTCCCCAGCACCAACTGAAGCAACTGCCTTGGAACGTCAGAGGCCTTGACTCAGAGATCCAGAAGGAGAAGGGAGCTCTGTAGGTCTCAAGTTGCAGGAAGTACCTGAGGCCTCTCGATGAGATTGGGCAGCAGGAGATGCTCTCCTTCCCTGTCTGAAGCGTGTACTTTTGGATGATCTGTGTTTTCAAGTTGAGGAACTGGGACAGGAGATCAGCAGACTGCACAGAATCAGAGACAATGAAAAAGAGATTGACGAGATCCTCTCTGAGACCCTACAGAGACAAGAGCCTAAACCCCTAACTGTAGTGAAGGGCAGGCAGAGTCTATGCACATTGGGTTAGGAAATAGAGACTCCCATGATCATGGAGGCTGGAAGATTGTGACTTCTGGCACCAGGAGGAACATTTCTGCTCCACCTGTAGCTCTGCAACTATGTAGTATGTTTGGTGACCTTGTAGCAGATGAGGGACTAGAAGCTCTGTCCTACAAAGCATCTGAGAGGGCTGAGCCTGAATCATCCACGAGCACCTGGAGGAAGCAGTAATAGTGGGAGACTCTCTGCTATGGGGGATGGAGGCTCTCATCTACCAACCCGACCTACCATCCAAGAAAGTTTGCTACTTACCAGGACTCAGATCCAGGACATTGTAGAGAGATTGCTGGCACTTGTCCAGCCTTTGGATTATTACCTCATGCTGCTCTTCCACATGGGCACCAATGATACTGCCAGGGAGACCTGGAGTGTGTTGGGAGTGACTATGTGGCATTGGGAGTGAGAATCAGGGGTGTGGAGGCCTAAGTGGTTTTCTACTTGGTGAGAGGGAAGGGCTTAAGGAGGAGTGAATGGGTCTTGCAGGTCAACAATCATTTGCACAGCTGGTGTCAGCAACAGGGATTTGGATTTTACAATCATGGGACCGTCTTTGAGGATCAAAGACTTATTGGGAATGATGGGATCCACCTGAAAAAGTGGGGCAAAAGCTTCTTTGCCAACAGGCTGACCAACCTGGTGAGGAGAGCTTCAGCCTAGGAATGACGGGGTAGGGAGATGACAGCTCACAGTCAAGTGAAGAAGTGGTGGATGGGGTTGGCAAGCAAAGGGTGCAGAACGATGTGACCAAGACACACCTCAAAATCAAAAAAATAAGGCTGAAGGAGGCCCATCTCAGGTATATGCACACAAGTAGGGGATGAGAGGAGCATTATGGGGGAAGCTCTCATATACCTTTTTCGGGAAATCAAGCATAACTGGATTCTTCTCTGAAATACCTGTACACTAATGCCTACAGCATGAGAAACAAACAGAAGGAATTAGAGGTCTTATGTGGAGTCACAGGGTTGTAATCTCATTGGAATCACAGAGATGTGGTGGAATACCACATGTGACTGGAGTGCTGCAATGGATGGGTACAGGCTTTTAGGAAGGACAGGCAAAGAGCGGGTATTGCCCTTTATATGAAAGGGCATCTGGAATGCATGGCACTGCACTGGGATTGATGATGAATCCAGTGAGAGTTTATGGGTCTAGATTACAGGACAAACCATTGTGGGCGACACTATAGTGGGTGTCTGCTAGAGATCACCTGATCAGGAAGAAGTAGATGAGGCCTTCTTCAGACAATGGGAAGAAGCCTCACCTTCACAGGCCCTGTTCCTTATGGGGGACTCAAACCCCATCGATATCTGCTGAAAGAGAAACACAGCAGGATAGAAGCAAACCATGAAGTTTCTGGCTTGCATGGATGAACAAGGAGTTCCTTACTAAACTCAAACATAAAAAAGCATATAAAAGGTAGAAGTAGTGTTAGCGTCAGGTGACCCAGAAGTAATAGAGAGACATCTGGTGAGGGATGTGAAGAGCAAAAAGAAAGGCTTCTACAGGGGTACCAGCAGCAAAATGAAGACTAGGGAAAATGTGGGCCCACTCCTGAATGGGGCAGGGGCCCTGATGACAAAGGACAGAGAAAAGGCAGAAGTACTGAATGCCTTCTTTGTCTTGGTCTTCACTAGTAAGACTAGTCCTTGGGAATTCCAGGTCTCTGAGATCAGAGAAGTCTGTTGCAAGGAAGACTTATCCTCAGTAGAGGTGGATCAAGTTATGGAACTTGTAAATAATTTGGGCATACACAAGTTCATGGGTGCTAACTGATGCCATTGGAAGGGCATTCTCTATTTCTGAAATGTCATGGTGATCGGGAGAGGTTCCTGAAGACTGGAAGAAAGTCAATATTACTCCTATCTTCAAGAAGGGCAAGAAGGAGTCTCTGAGGAACTACAGGCTGGTCAGCTTCATCTTGCTCACTGAGAAGAGGATTGAGCAAATCATCCTGGAAACCTTTTCCAGACATATGAAGGACAAGAAAGTGATTAGGAGTAGTCTGCATGGATTTGTGAGGGAAACATCATGTCTGACCAACCTGATAGCCTTCTATGATGAAATGACTGCCTTAGTGGACAAGGAAAGGCCATGACTGTTGTTTATCTTGACTTTAGCAAGACTTGTGAAAGTCTCAGATATCTAGCCTATACTTCATCAGTTTGTCAATGAGGATGTAAATTGGATATTGTGGCAGATGGAAAACTGTTTGAACTGCTGAATCAACCTGGGGTCTTGGTGGACAACAACTTGAGCAGGAGGCAGAAATGTGCCCTTGTGACAAAGAGGTCCAAGAGAATCCTGGGCTGTGTTAGGGAGAGGTGATTTTTCCCTTCTATTCATACCACAGCTGGAGTACAATGTCCAGTTCTGGGCTCCCCAGTGCATGAGAGATATGGAATTATTGGAATAAGTCCAGTAAAGGGCCACAAAGATGAATAAGGGACTGGAAAATCTGATATACAGGGAGAGACTGAGAGAACAGGGATTGCTTTGCCTTGAGAAGAGAAGGCTCAGCAGGGATCTTATTAATGTGTCTAAATATCTGATGGGAGGGAGTAAAGAAGATGGAACCAGGCTCTTTCCAGTGGTATCCAGTGAGAGGAGAAAAGGCAATGGGCAGAAATTGAAATACAGGAAATTCCATTTAAACATAAGAAACATTTTTCTACACTGGAACGGATTTCCTAGAGAGGTTATGGAGTCTCCATCCTTGGATAGGGTCTTGGCAACATATTCTAGTTGACTGTGCTTGAGCAGGGAGGTTGAACTAGATGATCTCCAGAGGTCCCTTCCATCCTCAATGATTCTGTGATTCTAAAATGAGTGATATAATACCGACTCACTATTGTCCCTCCCCATTTTTGAAATTATTTGCCTCAATGTGATTAAAGATGGAAGACGTTACTTCTCACATTACTTAAACACATCAACAGTAGCAGCCAGGCTAATGATCAGTTTCTTCTCTCCATCAATCCCTGCTGATTACATCTGCTGAATGTTGTGTTGTACCATTCTCTCCTTCAGGTAAATGTCACTACTATCTTAAAGAAGGAGAATCTGTGGAATTACAGTTCAGTCAGCCTCACTTCAAATACTGGGAAAATGATGGAGCAAGCCCTCTTGGATGCAACTTCTGGAAACATGAAGGACAAGAAGATGATTGTGAACAGCTAGCATGGATTTGCCAAGGGCAAATAGTGACTGGTCAACCTGATAGTTTTCTATAATGAGATCACTGGCTCTGTGGATGAGGAGAGAACAGTGGATGTTGTATACCTTGACCATGGCAAGGTTTTTGACATGGTCTCCCATAGCATGCTTAGAGCTAGACTGGTGAGATATGAACTGGATAAGTGGGCTATAAGGTGGGTGGAAAATTGGCTACACTGTCAAGCTCAAAGCATTGGGATTAAAAGTAAAAAATACAACTGGCAGCTGGTTACTAGTGATCTCCCTCAGAGATGGCTAGTGGGGGCAATACTGTTCAATATCTTCAATGAATTGAATGGTGTGATGAAATGCCCTCTCAGAAAGTTTGCAGATAATAACTGTGAGAGAATTGCTCAAGAAGTGGGACTTGGAGAAAAATAGAACCTAAAAGAAATTCTGGCATTGCAGAGGCTTGCTTGAGGTGAGAGACAGTTACCACTTCCAGGATGGTTGGTATGTGTGGAATCTACTTCTCCACGATTCCCTAGGGAACACAATCTGCCTAATAAGAGTGAATGGAGGGTGGAGAGGAGTGAAGACACTGTGGACAAACTCTATTGTACTCTCTGCAGAGGTGGCAGCCTGGTGGTGCCACACAGCTGATGGGCCACATAGTGTGATGTCTGGTGTTGGGCCAACAATGGTGGCAGATCAGTTCCCTCTGATAGGCTTTGCTCAGGCTTCTTATCCTTCTAATCTCAGTATAATACCAATACACAACCACTCCTCACTGAGCATGCTCTCTAGACTTTCAATTAACTCTGGAGACTTTGTTTTTTAACCAATGAATAACAAAAGTAAGTATGACTAGAGTCACTGGAGCTCCATCTAAATGTAAAAGAAAATATATAAAAGGCGAACTAAGGAAGGAAGGGGGATAAGAACTAGGAAGGAAGAAGGAAGAGGAGAGAGGGAAGACTTCATCATAACTTCTGGATCAGTCAACAGCTGAACCCCTTTCCTCCCCTCAGGTCAGGACACTGCCTGAGGAGACTCCTCAAGACTAAGAGCCCTCTCCCATCTTCTGGGTGAGTGATGATTGCACATTTGTACACTAGGCACTAGATAAGAACCCCACACTGTAGTAGAGAATTTCCTATCCTGACATCCGAAACCTGTTTTCCAAATGTTGCATTTGAATAAATTGTGCTATTTGTGAACCCGACCACTTGTCTTGAAGGCAATCGGACCTACAGTCGATAGACTGTTCGTGAACCCGATACTTCCAGAATCGAGCTTAGAGTTGATCACGCTATCGGGGAACTCGATTTGCTCTTTGGAAGGCAATCGGACCGACGGTCAGCAGACTGTTGGTGAATCCGATATTGCCAGAGTTGGGCGTATAGCTAACACAGTATTTGGTATCCCTATTAAGGGATGAGTCCAGCTGCTCCCAGTCCTTCTAACCTTTGAGGATTGTCTGGAACGCAAGGGGATTCATCTCTTACCAAATTTGCTCCCCTCCGTCAAACTGCAAAAATAACAAATTGGGGGCAATGGTCAATATGCTGGAGGGCAGGGCTGCTCTTCAGAAGGACCTGGTCAGGCTAGAGGAATGGGGCAAGAGGAATGGTTGAATGAGGTGGATGAAAAATGGTGTGAATGCCAAGTCCTGTGACAGTGCAGGCTGGGGACTGACTGTCTAGAAAGCAATTTTGCGGAAAAGGACCTAGGGGTTATGGTGGGCAAGTTGAACATGAGTCAGTGTGTTCTTGTGGCAAAGGCCAACCTAATATTGGGTTATATCAGCAGGAGCATAGCCAGAAGGCTGAAAGAAGTGATTTTCTCTCTTCAGCACTTATGAAACCTCATCTGGAGTAATTTTTCCAGTTCTGGGCTTCCCAGGGTGACAGATGGGGGCATACTGAAGCAAGTTCAGTGAAGGGCCACCAAGATGATGGCTTGAGTATATGACATAACAGATGCTGAGAGAACTGGATTTCTTCAGCCTTAAAAAAAGAAGGATGAGGGAAGATCTGGAAAGCTGGGCATGCTTTCATGTGAAGCATCTGGGCCAATGGACCCTGCACCATGCAGGAATAGCTGGAGAAAGTGAGAGTGATAGTGCTGGGTGACTCCCTGCTGCACAGGACAGAGGTACCCATCTGCTGACTTGACTTCCTGTCTAGAGAGATTTGCTACTTGCTGGAGGCTTGGATCCAGAATGTTCTGGAGAAACTGATGAAGCTTGTCTGCCCCCTCTGACTATTACCCCCTGCTGCTCTTCTACATGGACACCAATGATACTGTCAAAGGCAACTTTGGAAGTATCAAACATGACTACAGAGCTCTGGGGGCGGTGGTCAGGGATATGGGAGGCAATGTGCACAAGTTGGAACATAGGAAATTCTGACATGATATAAGAAAAAGCCTTTTCCTCATGAGGATGGTCAAACACTGGAACAGGTGCCCAGAGAGGTTGTAGATCTCCATCCTTGGAGATGTCAAAAATTTGACTGGGCAAAGTCTTGAGCAACCTCATTTAAGTTGGCCTTAACTTAAGGAGTTGGAGTTTGTTTCCTGGATGGTGAAAGAGCTTGGTTGTCCCCTTGGAACCAAAGATTTTGTTAGTATGTTTGGACTTGCAAAGTCAGGATATGTGGAGCCCTGGATAGCTAGTTTCCTTATTGTGAATGAGAATAAAAATACTACAGCTACTTTTACTTTTTTTTTTTTTTTTGTTAAAAATTTGTTTACAGTCTCTCTTTCTGACCAGCTGTTAGGGCCTTGAGTGCACCGCACCAATAAGCTTTAATGGCCCTGACCAGTCTCATTTGAGATGTCCACCCACACCCTCTGCCCATGGGACCAGGAGCTGTATTTACACTCAGGCCTGAGCCTTTAGTCTTTGCCTGAGCCATGTTGTAGGTAGGCCTGTGTCTGGCTGTCCTGGTATACTAGCTTGTCTTCCTGGCTTTCCCTCAGATCTGATTCATTACTTTGCATTTATCTGATGATTGTTGGGCTGTTGATGAAACCTGTTACTATGACCAACCCTGTTTGGATACTGTGGGACTGTACTCCTTGTTCATTACTACTCTTGCCTGCCTTGCCAAACATGCTTGTCTCCTGTCTTACTTTCCTTTATGGAGCAGATAGTCCTTTCTTCTACCTGACAGTTAGTTCAGGCCTTTTGGAACCCTGAGCCAAGCACCATGGGGCCTAGCCTTCAGACTGTGCAGGAGCTTGCCCCTGGGACTCCCCCACGGCTCCAGGTTAACCTCCAAACTCTGCAGGAGACTATGGCCATCACACAGGTCACAGCCCTTCAGGCTTCCTTAACATATCTTGCAGCCACAATCAACCCCTGCCCCCACCCCTGCTTCTCCCAGGATTGGGCAAGAGTTTGGGGTTATATTAGTCAGATGTAGCTAATCTTTGCTGCCTATCCAACAGATATTCGGCACAAGTTG